CTTCTCCTGCACCTCAACCAAAAAATACAAAATTATTACACCACGTTTCGCTTATCACCACCCACGAGGCACACAGCGGTTGGTTAAAAAAACCCCAAGTCGTCGTTCACTCGTTGCAAACACGATAGCAAAAAATAACAATCATATCATTCACATTGACATTCAGTCAACGAGTGAAAGGGCAATTGGTAAAATGAAATTGAACGTTGCAGTCCCTTGTCTATCAGGTATATGAACCACAAAACGCATAAACAAATCCTCAAATCGGCTTAAAAGATCAAATGCCATTTCTTTGCATTTCATTTATGCAAAAAATAAAGCAAAATGAACAATCACCTTTCTATGTCATTTATACAAATACAAATGAATACTTATTACATATGCAAATTTGATGATACTTTCGCACCATCAAAAAAATCAGTACAAATATGCAATTAACAGCAACAATATAACTAAGAAAACCTATCAGAAATATACAATTCACTGCGATTGCAAGTAATAATGCATGCATCGCTAAAAATTTCACATATTTCAGATTAAACAAACCATTTATTCATTCAACCATGCGAACCTTTTACATTCATCCACCTAAGCATTCACAATTTTGCAATTGTTCTTCGATATGATCAACACTGTTCTTATCAACACCACATTTCACATGTTCCTTGTTTTGGCGGTGTTTCATTTACATTATTTCCAAATTTTTTCGTGTTAATCCATCAGCTTAAGCACTCAGTGATACAATAAAGATGTTTGTCGTCTATTTAACCGCGAACTTCTGCATGATCAATCACATCGTTGGACATAAACATCAAAAGAACATCAACTGATGATGACTGAGAGAGAAATTAGTGTTGAAATGAATTCTCTCTCTCGCACACACACGCAAAACAAGCTAATTTAAGACCAGTCGAGAGAATTAAGTATCGCTTTTAAGACGAGCTCATCACAAACAACGAGTGTGATTCGCTGGCTGAATACTGCGAACGATAGGTGAGGCAGTGGAAAAACGATGATGATAACGCATCATATAACAACAACACATACCCTTGCCATTAGCAAGATTCCGTGTGGTAACTTACATTCAATTAGCAGTTAATCTCTTCTCATAAGTCCTTGAGCATAATGACACATGATACTGCTGCTGATCATTATGCAATTAGCGTGCGATGATGAGCACACCAATCACGGACATTACACTGAATAATTTTTCGTTGAAAATTAATAATAATAATAATAATAATAATAATATTCAATAATAATAACAACTATAATAATAACAATAAGAAGATAACTAAGAAGTCGATAATGCACACGCATAACAACGCATCTGAATTGGATGATGGAAATTGAACTAATTATGATTTTAAGCTAGACCACTGATTAACTGGAGCGATCATAAACTCAATCGATCAGAAACGGAAGCAAATCTTATAACAGATGGCACTCTGTTCCTCACTGGCTTTTTTTAATTTTCACAAGTAGCGGAAAATATGGATGGAATATGTCAAAAATCCGCTGTTTCGACTTATTTATTCATTCGCGCTTTCGGCCAGTTTACGTACTTCAACGGGTACGACGTTTTAGTGAGAATCCTCACGCAATTAATCCTAAGCGTAATGATCCCTTAAACGGGCATCTTCCAACAGTCGCTCGCTAACAATGCATTATGAACGGAAAACGACTGCAAAAAATAATTCTTTAATGCAATAGAGTTGGGTCGATGGCAACTGAAAGTCGGTGATCCCGAACTGCAGTCGATGGCCATCGCCCGAGAACCGAAAAAGACATTATTCGGTGAACACCAGAAACTGAAGGTCATCGAGTGCCGTAACGATCAGTCGCCAACAAATCACACGTCCGTTGCTAGGTATCCAAACTGAGCCCTCTTCAGTTTTCTTTTTCTTCCTCAAATTTCTCCAACAATAATACTGAAATTCAACTGAAATTTTGGACCGAAACGGAATCGAACGCATACGCTTCAGGCTCACTGAAACCTCAAAGCACTATGTGACTCTATTACATTATCGACCCAGTGCATAATCCTTTCAAATCTATTTCTCACTTACGAACAGTGATGCTTGAACTCCACAGCCAAAAAAATATTCCTTTTGCTCTCTTAAAAAAAGATTACAGCAGCATTCGTTAACCGGAGCTAAGATTAACACGATAGTTTTTTTTTCGAGGCCGTGACGGAATAAAGCAAATTTCGGAGTTAAGAACGGCGTTGAAGTTTTAAAATGGAACTGGAGTAGAAATATCGAAAATGCGGAGTTGCAGTCGAAGTCGAAAATTGAAAGATGCACAGACAGAGCCGGAGCCAAAAATTTTGGATACACAGAGTATCATTTTTTTTTCAAATTATGCATCATTGGTTACGATTTCTCTTGACGATATCTCCATCTCTCCACTTCTTTTCTAAGACGCCGGCCCCATTCCAGGCTCGTGGCACCATACCAAAACTGAATGCTCTTCATTTTTCTCTCTATACTTCAAAATTCTCTACTAAAGATACCGAAATTCAACTAAGATTTTGGATCGAAACGGAATCGATCGCATGCCCTTCTGGTTGATTGGATCCTCAAAGCGCAGTGTAACCCCAGTATACTCCTGGCCAATTCCATGCTCGTTTCAAATTTATTTCCGTATAATTGTTGCATCAGGTGCCTTTTTAATTATTCTGCGCTTTCAATGTTTGTTGTTCTACAGGAAGTCGCCCTCAGGCAGAAACACTAGAACAAAATGTGTTCAGGACAAAAATTTTCTGATAAAAGGTACTCAACATAAAGAGACGAAGCATTTACACTAACAATGCTTAGTTTTCCAACGCTTAACGGTAACAAAAGTAATTCAAAAGGTTATGCCTTCCAAAACAATTTGTTTCGCCGTGTCAAGCCTCGCAATAGATGTCATATTGGTAGAAATTGATTGCTGCAGTATAAATGACATCATAACAAATACCACAGAAATATGCAAACACTCATTTTATGCGTCACATCAAACAGTTTGGAATTACGAAACATTAAAACGAACCAACAACTATAATGAAAGTGAAAAAGTCCCACAAAACTGTTCAAATGAATGAGAAATTAAGGTTAACCAGCATCTATATATATATATATATATATATATAT